AATGATTTTCCAAATACTCAAAAAGTGCTTGATCTTGATTGATTTGCTTATTTATTACATTTTTATAGTTTTTTGATGTGTGATATTTTTTTTGCAAGCAGCTGTCTGCTCCTCAGTCCTTCTATGGGAAGAGGAAGCCTGCTGACTGTTGTTGTGCCTGCCCACCTAGACATCATTGACTTTGATTTTCAGCCTAAAACTGAACTTTTCAGAAAAAATGTCTTCTTATATCCACCAATGCCACTTCAGGGTTGAAGTATTTCAATGAGTGCCCTATAAAGGATTAACACACAGACATGAATTAGGCCTTTTTCAGAGCAGACATTTTGACTTATCATAGCATAGCACAGGTGTTACTATTAACATTAGGGAGGGCTCTGTTGTAGCATTTAATGAGGTTGATGTACATGGTTGTATGCACTTATTGTTTGTAGCTTTGGATGAAAGCATAAGCCACAATGTTATGTAATGTTCTGTTTGAGTCTCCCAGTAAGTTATGACAGTGTGACAGTGAGCTAACTGCTAACCTGGACCATGAAACTGAAGAAGCCAAATAGAATTCAGCCATATTCATTTACACCTGTGATTTAGACCTGCGTGTTTAGGAATGTCATTTGCCATTTGACATAATGGACAAAAATGTGTTGCTTTAAGTATGTCTTCACCTTTTAATCTTTACTGTTGTTGAGTAGGTTTACAGCGGTATACCGATACCATGGTAAGAAAATTGATGGTTATCATACCAGGTACATTTGCTTATCTGCAGTTATTTAAAAAAAATAATTAATTCTATCATATTATTGATATTTTAAAACAAAAATAGTGTAGTAATAACACGTAGTAGTGTTATTAAAAAATATATTAGATACATAATATTTTGTGAAAGTATAATAAAGGGTTTGTTAAACCAAAGAAACTCTTCTGTTTTCATTTCTTTAAGCCTCATTGTAACTGATGGTAATAACAATAACTTGGCTCTACACAAATATTGAAAAAATGTAGGAATCCCATATAAATGCTTTCACAATATTTAGTTTTGTGATATTGTAGCGATTCTTGAAAAAAACCATATCAATGTTTGTGTTTAAACCCCCAACTTCGAGACAGCAGTGTTGTAAACCTTAACTGAGGGCTATGATGTTGGATACAATATATCGCCCTGCTTACAGTATGAATTGAATTGTAACTCTCCTGTATCATGATACGTATTGTATCAGCAGATTCTCGCCAATACACAGCCCTATTGTGTAATACCATAAACTGTCAGTTACAGTACCAAAAATCCCTGTTCTTGACTGAAATCTGTCTGTGCTCTGTTGTCTTTTCTCTCAGTGGCACCGGTGTCTTCTACCAGGCAATGCCTGCTGTTGGAGCCGATGGAAAGAACATCATGAAACTGATTCCTGTACAAATAGACAATGGACAGTTTTTCCAAACTCAAATAAGCAAACCCAGAATGGATCCTGCGCCACATAAAGCTGCAACAATAAATATAGCCTCAGCACCTGTGCACATAGTAAAAAAGGCAGCATTCAATCCTTTTGCCACTCAGCAGGTTTGCAGGAAACCGGTTTCCTTTGTGAATGCCTCGTCTAATCACATAGATCTGTATCCTCGTAATTCACTAAACAAGCATCCACTACAGCAACAGGCTGTAAAATTAATGGCCAAATTACCTCCAATGGCAACACCTGCAACAAACTGTGAGAAGTCAGTGAGACTTCCAAGCCAGCTCCCAGTGACGGTGAAATCTCCAGCACTCCCCATAGGACAGTACCTCCAGATTCCCCCCAATGCACAAGTCCGAACAGTCCCAGTATCTGAACTCCCTCCAGTTATCAAGAAACAGATTTTTACTTCACCAGTCAGCTCCTCTCCAGGTTCAGGCTTGCCCAATGTGGTTTACGTGTCACCTATCACAACAGTGAATCAAAGCGTTACTCCACCAAGTGATTCTGCACCTCGCCCACTAAAGCTGCTTTCCAGGACATCAAGTAAAACATCATGTGGACTCCCATCGAAAGGATCAAAACCACATTTAAAACTGATACCAAAGTTTTCACAGAGGCCCAACAGCCCCATAAAGTGGATAATTGAAGAAGAGGACAGCTCATCGCCTCCCACTCTTGATCCTCTCAGTTCTCCTTCTGTCACTTCAGAGATTCTTTGGGCTGTTGCAGAGAGAGAAAATGCCAGCAAGCACTGTGATGTTATTACAAAACAAGTATCTCAGTCGAGTCTGGGAGAAGGTGGACAAGGGCAGGAAAACGCCTTGGTCATGTGCAACGGGAAGGTGTTTTTTGTTTCAAAAAAGCGCAACCTGACACTTGAAATGGGAGAAAGCGACCGACCAACACTATCACCAAAATGTTATGAATTCAACAAAACCATGGTATCTTCATCCCAACAATCACCTGAGCCGGTGGCACCTGAAATAGAGCAGGACCTCAAGATTATCATTCCAGACGAGTCAGAGGAAGTGATTGACCTTTGTGATGATGATGCTCAGGATGACCCGTCTCAACAAGCAGCATCAGTTAATACGACAGCTCAGGTAGATGAAGACAATGTCATATTTGTTTCTTATATTCCGCCCAAATCTGAGTCAGCACAAGATCTGATACTAAAAACACAAAGCGCACTTGTGAAGCAGAAGGGCACGAGCAGCTCAAACAGGGTGACGGAACAAAAGAGTCTGGATGGTACAACTGGCAGCGATGGCAGAGATGAAGTCTCCCCTCATAGAGGAAGAAAACCTGGCCAGAGCACGTTAGTCAGCACAGATGAAAATCATACACACATTGGTGGTTCAGCAGTGGTCAACATGCCTGATAATGAGGGCTCAGACATCAACAGTCAGCAGGGCAACCCCACCCAACAGCTGGACAGCATGGAAGTTAATGTAGAAACAGAACGTCCAGCTGATCCCAGCAGTGGAATATGCTCAGGAATAGAGAAGAACACCCACAAAACGGAGGTGAGTGAACGAACTTCTGTTGATCATTACTTTGGAATACTCTTTAATAGTGTTTTTAATAGAATTGTTTTCAAGCAGGGAATCATGTAACAGCAGATATTAAAGGACAATTCCGGCACAAAATGAACCTGGGGTTAATAACACTTATTTACCGAGTTGGTCTGTTCTCTGGGATATGTTTTCATTCTAATCGCACGTGACCAGTTTTAGGCGACAAACGCTAATTACCGGTATAACGTCGGATCTACGCGGGTGAACTCGCGCTTGGTTGCAGGGGAAAGAGAGCAGGGGCGTCTGAACGCGAACAGAGACTCACTACTAGTCTCAGTGTTCCACAGGATACACCACTGAAGGAGATGGGTATGTATTCAGAAGCCGACATTTGAAGACAGTGGGAAAACGGCCCTTTCCAGTTGATGGACGTCCTTTCTTTTCGAGCCAGAAGCTATACAGACGAAGGAGCCGCGGTGAGCTCCGGTTGAAAAGGGCGTTACGAAGAAGGAGAAGCTACCGGTAGGTGCAATGCCGGCAACAGCAGCCCGTATCGGAAACTGTACTACGGCATTGTTGAATGCTATGGGCACCGAAGAGGAGTGGACGTGTTGCTCGTGAACCCAAGAAGGCAGTGTTTTGTACAGTCTGAAGATTTCCTCCTGGATAAACAGGGCTGTACTAGAAACTTTTTTCATTGTCGCCCGAAAATAAATTGGAGCGGCGACCAAACCGGGAGGACCGAGAGTTATTGTTTTTACCATTTTAATGAAGGTATTGCCTAAGCTTTACTGCAAAAGGGGGCGTGACTTTAGCAGGAAGCAAAGCAAATAACGAGTTTAGTGTTTAGTTTCTAGTTTCGTAGTCAGTGTTCTCTCCGTGCGAACAGCGTGAGTCCACGTGAGATCGTTCAAGTCACATTCTCAAGAGAGTTGGACTGGGTCACGACTGTTTTCCCAAGATGGCGCCCGGCGTGTTACGTGAGGCTACCTGTTTGTTCGTAACAATCTTTTTTATAGATGTGCTGGGTACACTTTCCAAAGTTCTCAATGGCTGTCGGTTACAAGTAGGCCCTCGATTATGTACTGTGTAAGGGTGTGGTTGCTATTTGAAGCCCTTGTAAGTGTGTATAGGAAATAAGCTTTCTTTTCACTTTACTAAGTGCCCCGTTGGGGACTAGCAGTGTATACGGGTAGCATTAGCGGGGTTTGTGCTAAAACTGGTCAGCTGCGATTAGACATGAAAGCATGATCCAGACGAACAGACACTCGGGGTAAATAAAGCTTGGTCTATGTAACGCCCAGGTTCATTTTGCGCCGCAATTGTCCTTTAAGATATTTTAACTGCACAGAATTGTAAATTTCATTCTTTTCAGAAATCAGTCTCACAGTTGAGCAATAAAAGAAATTAAAAATAAATAAATACCAGTTATGTTAAGAATTAATTGTTGTGTCATCTTTCCACCAAATAAATAGAAAGCTATAGACAGTGGTATCGATGTCAATAAAAATGAACCCCATCCTTGTGGGGTCACTAAAAGTTTTTTTCAGCGGTGTGACTTTGACCAAATACCTGCAAAACATACAACATTCCCATCATCCTCCGCTGCACTTTATGTGCAGAGCTAATTAGTAAATGTCTCATTAAACAAAGATAATGAACACTGTTAGCATTACCTGCTAAACATCAGCATT